TCAAATCTTCACACAACCTGAAAGAACACTGGGTAACCTTGGGCAGGTTAGCACTTTTCAACCCATCTCAATCTTGAAAATACTGCACAATACTCAGTATGGGAAAGCAAGGACCTTCCACCACCTTTAATCTTAACTTCCAATTCTTCCTCATATAGATAGCTGTTTTATTTCTGATACTTTATCCAAATTAAATTAAAAATGTAAAAGATATTTAAAACTTTGATTTCAAGGAATAAAAACAAATCTGACAGTATTTTTTCTATTAAGTTATTTTACTTACCAGGAAATCCTATACATGTCTAATAGAGTCAAATTCAGTGGGCCTTGCACCGAAAGTTCTATCAGAAAAAAATCTTTATTCCTTAAACATATTTCCAAAATTTGCAATGCATAACCGAATTTGACTTAAGAAACTGAGTACTTGAAACAGAATGGTTCAAAAATTCTGTTTTCTGCAGACCAGATCCAATGTTGCCCAAGTGGATTTGTTGTAGAATGGGACTGCCCCTCCTCTTCCCACCTCCACATGTGCACATACACTCCATAGGGTCCTTCAACATTCCAGGTAAATATGTGAGGGTAGATTAAGGAAGGTGGGAAGAATTGGCCATCTCCCGTTCTGCTGATAGAAGACATTGCATTAGTGGGATGGGTTAACTGGATACCCACCCAAGTATTTACTAACTTTTTTAAAAAAGCTTGCTGTACTTGTTTTCTGCTGGAATGGAATTCTTCTTTAAATGTTTTAAGTTAAGTTACTTTTTATCTTATAGGAAAGTGAAAGAAGAGAAGACTCCAGTGATTTCATGTTAATGGATCCTACCCTGTTCAGGATTTCACCTGTGGGCCATATGTTGTTAATGCTAAACGTGATAGGGGTTTTAAATCTGATCAACTCCTACATGTTAGCATTAATGGTGTGTGGTGCTTATTCCCAAAACTGTGAAGGGCACAAAATGTGTCACTGGGAAATAGTTGTCAAAAGAAGAACTGCTTTACATACAGGCTGGTTTTCCAAAGCATATTAGTTTTCTTCTAGCAGAATTAAACCACTGTATCAATAAATTTTGATTAGAACAATTGACAAGTATGACTGATGCACAATTACTTTCCCTATTAGTCTGATAAATTTGGTATGATTTTCAAGTAATGCAATCAAACACCTATAAATTTTGCCTAACCATCAGAACATGTATTCCTTATGGCATTTTCACAGTACTCTGACAAAGAGAAGGAGAGCCTGAGGGCAGTCTTCTCCAACTTGATAGCTTCCAAATGTTTTGGACTTCACCATCATTCCCAAGCAGCATAGCCAGTGGTTAGGAATGCGAGGAGTAACATTGCAAAATATTTTGGCGACAGCAGGCTAGGGAAATTGGTTATAAAAGAGACAAAGCAGTAAGTCAGGGCCTAGCTATGCTGGCACAAAGTTGCCTACCTTAGCGACTTAAATTGGTCCAAGAGGGGACAAACATTTTTCTGATAAAGGTGAAGAAAAATGGGGCTTTGGTACAATTTACACAGGAGTCACAATTGAATCCACTTATAACTACCTGAGCACACATAAAGTTTAGGATTGATTACGTTAAGAACTGCACACATCCACAGTTCCACATCTCACCCACCCCATAACACAAAACCAGGGGGTGCGGGTTCTCTCCACTGTCTCTAAGTTTCCAGAAACATTATACCTTTAGACACTCATCTATACCTCTCCTTTTCATAAAACTCAGAAGTTGGAATGACAGACTAGATGAAGGCCAATGAACTGAAGTCCAATCCAGAAAAGATGAAAGTCCTGTTAGCAAGTGATTCACCTGTCCAGACTCAACCTGTCTAGGAGGGGGTTGCATTCACATTGAAAGACTAGGCACAGAGTTTGTGAGTGCTCCTGGATTCATCACTGTCATCTACAGCCAAAGTGGCCAGGAACACCTTTTATCAACTTAGACTGATATACCAGCAGTGACCCCATCTGGGCAGGGCTAGCCTGGCAACAGTTATCAATGCTCTGTTCAGAAACTGTGTTTAATGTTTCAGCTTTTAACTGGTTGTAACCCACCCAGTGAGCATTACTAAAGACAGACAGCTCCTATAATCTCTTCGCTAGGAGCAAGGACAGAAACATACCTGCAACTAAGTGAAGCAGTTTTCATAGTGATCATACTAAATTTTACAAATATGGTATAGAAACAGATGTTTTTGCTCGTATGCAAGCATAAACCCTGCCATTCATAGAAAATAGCTGTGATATGTTTTTTATCTAGTAGTTTTTATCTAGTAGTTGAGAGCACATTACTGGGTTTCAGGAGATCTGGGTTCTAGTCTCCACTCAGCCATGGAGCCAACTGGGTGACTTTGAGCTAGTCACAGACTCTCAGTCCAACCTACCTCATAGGGTTGTTGTTGTGGGGATAAGACTGAAATAGGAGTATTACAAGGTAATCCACTTTGAGTTCAACTTAAAAAATGGTAGGATATCAATAAAATATGTCCAAAATAGGATATTCTCAACAGAACGTAACAAGAGCAATCTGTACTGGGTACTTTCTTTCAAAAATCTACTTTAGCAGTTTTTTCAAACTTCCAGATGTTGCCCTCCAGTTGTTTTAGTCTACACCTTCTATTGTCCTTTGTTGTTGGTCGCGAAGTCGTGTCTGACCAATAGCGACCCCATGGACAACATTCCTCCAGGCCCTCCTGTTCTCTACCATCTCCTGGGGTCCACTTAAGCTCACACCAACTGCTTCAGTGACTCCATCTAGCCACCTCATTCTCTGCCGTCCCCTTCTTCTTTTGCCATCTATTGTTCCCAGCATTAGGTGCTTCTCCAGGGAGTCCTTCCTTCTCATTAGGAGGCCAAAGTATTTGAGTTTCATCTTCAGCATCTGGCCTTCTAAAGAGCAGTCAGATTGATCTCCTCTAGGACTGACTGGTTTGATCGCCTTGCAGTCCAAGGGACTCGCAGGAGCCTTCTCCAGCACCACAATTCAAAGGCCTCAATTCTTCGGCGCTCAGCCTTCCTTATGGTCCAACTTTCACAGCCTAACCATTAATAATACTGGATGAAGCTGCTGAAATGTTTGGACTGAGACTTCTAGCTTGGAGAAAGGTGCAATGGTGATACAATTCAACTGCACAACCAGCTAAACCATCACTGCAAGTAGGGATGAGGAACTACATGGCTGCCCCTTCTCCTGCCAAAAATGCTGCCAGTCACACAGCCAAGTATAAGTATGGTGGACTTGGGCAACTCTTCCCACAGATTGCTGGCTATATTTCACATGATTCAGAAAGAAAAAGTGAAGCACATTTCAGTGAGATTGAGCAGCATGGGCTAGCCCAAGAGTATGAGATACAGGAGGAGAAGATACTCAGGCCAAGCGCTTCACTGAGCCATGCAGTTTTTGGGAACAGCCAGTGGGAGGGGTCCCTGAGGAAGAATTATCAGATACAGACCAGCCTACCTCCACATTCAATCTTGTGGCAAGGCATCAGCGGGGGGGGGGGGGGGGCTTAACTGAATGATCAGCACACAGGCTAGAGGTGAGCTTGGCTTCAGAGAACCCCTCTTGAAGAGATGGGGTCCAGGCATGTACAAGTATATAAAGAGAGTTCCTGAAGGTAAAGATTAGATTGGGTTCAACAAACCCAAATGCTCAGAGATCCATTCTGGGTGATTTGTACTTGGGAGTGCTCTGTGGGTTGTGACTGTTTGAAGGAAGAACCTCAGCTTACAACACCAAGAATGCATATGGCGCTCATACTATAATACAAGAGGGGGCACATGTGGTAAATAGCCAAGCATATGTAAAGAAGGGAATGAACAAGAGTGTGTGGTACAAGAGAATGTTAGTCTGGGGCTAATATGTAGACCAAATGTGAATGGAAAATTGATGTTCATATATTTTGGCTTTTAAGTTCTAACATTCCTGGCCACAATGGCAAAAGTCTCTGGAAGATGAAAGTCAAAAAACAGCTGAACATCTACTTTTTCCCACAGTGAAGTTATGACAGGCATCAATTCACTACATCTTGGAAAAGGTGCCTGTTACACCACCATAAAGCCTATTTCCAGGCTCTCCAAAAACTGAGCCTGATAACTTGACTACCTGACTACCAAACCTGCACCTTATATTGAACCTTCTTCCCAAGAGGGCAACATAACCAAAGGCCCAGATAATGCAACATGGAAACCAAGGTAACCTCCAGGCCTATTTACAGCTACAATATAGCTTGCTGTAAAAGCATTCTCTGCTACTTGAAGTAAATTACAAGGCATCCTTCCGTTACAGATTTCGACTTTTTGAAAGGCACAGCTGCGTTCTGGTCTCACCACATCCTTAAATGAATGGATCTCTCCTGTTACACTCTAACACTCCTAGTTAAAACACTGCAATACCCATACATTTAAATGTAAAGAATATTTACATTTAAGTCTATTTACAGCCAGTCTACTCTGGCTGTTGAAACAGTAACTGCATCTACCAAAATTAGGGTTCACCCCATATCACCTAAGTCCTAGTGCACAACATTGGACCACCAAGTTACCAAATCACATTAAAACATTCCTACTTTGATGTTATTCTTGTAGCCTCCCTTAGTGGCCATATCTCAGGGTTTTTATGCCCTGATCTTGGTATAACAGAGAACATAAATGTCAATACACAGCAACTACTAACTGTACTGAAATATGGTTATGGACAGGTAATAAGACTAGAGAACATTATCTGCTAGAATCAGGATCTGAACCCATTTCTCCAGATTCCTTCTCCAGCGATCCTGCTCAAATAATTAAGTGAAAGTCTGCAGGTACTCCAATGAATTTAGTGATCCCCCAACACCTATGAACATTTGAGGGGACTTTAAAGTTTACACCCAACTTCTGTTTTGATGAAATAGGGGGCAAGATTTTGTCAATGTTTTTTCTGTCTGTCTGTGAAAACATTTGGTCATCATCCCTTTTTGAAGAAATGATTTAAATAATAAAATAAGTCTTCTTAAAAAAATGTCAATTTAATGTTGAAACTTGTTCCCCGGATGCAGATCGAAAAGACTTAGACTGATACAGTATCTGTGATTTCATTTCCATCTTTTGCTTCCTTTGCTCTGTCTTCGCTGACCTGCAAAACATGGTAAATATTTTTCTTAGAGTGTATACTTGCCCAAGCTCCAAATGTATTACAATTGTTCTATTTCACTTGGAATAAATGAAAAAGCATCATGCTCAAATTAAGCTACTTGCAATCGCTTTTTTCAATATGTGGATTTTCCAGTGATAAGGCTGTGATATTTGAGCAGATATGACATGATTCTTACCTCCCTTGGAAAGACCAAATTGCAGTGTTTTCGCTTTGAAAGCTATCCCATCAACATACACTATACTGTAGGAGTTTCAGCTGTTTTTTACACATTCAGGTTAGGGGAAGTAGGTTCAAGTACTTTGTTTAAGTTAAAGTTCATTCAATGCTGCACACTTAAAATATGTTCAAGCATTTTGATCCACCATGCCCCAAGAATTAAAAATATTAAAAACTGAAATCTTACAGTATATCAACAATTCAAACCATATGATAATACTGCTCAATACTGTTATGCCAGAGCCATCATCTTCAAAATCCAATTCCAGAAGTCACATAAATTTTTAAAAAGTCTGGTGCAATTCAGGTCTCTCTCTATTATTTCAATTTAATTTCTGAATTGTTTCCTCATATTGTCTGTCCTCCGGGCCACTTTTTCTTCGCTATTTTTGCATCAAAAGGGCTAATTCTTAAAAGTAGTTTGGAATCAGGTTACTGACAGGACATAAAAATACACATACATACTGTAAAATATGAACAATCCACATGAGTTATACACATCAGTTTTGCCTATATACAGAAGTGATCAGCTGAAAGGGGTAGAATGCTGCTCCTTTACATTTTAAAAAGTTATATGCACACTGATTCATGTGTGAATATATGCACTGCCACAGGAAGAGCCCATTAAAATCTAAAACAGCATAGGTACCATTTCATAGGCTGAATATTGTCTCTTGGAGAAGAGCAGAAGTGCCACTATTACCACACATAATATGTTTACATCTTTTTTGGTTTCTAGAATTTAAAAGACCAGAAGTTCATCCATAAAGCCATAGAATATTTAAGTTTTTCCAGCTGAATAAAAACCAACATAGTTTCACCCACTAGCATACCTGGAAATACCTTTTTACTGGGAAAAATCCAAATTCAAGAGCAGAGCAGATGGTGACATCTAAATGCACATTAACCCCAATGATTTTTCATATCAACATTGTACTACAGTGTTATATCTTTTATTCAATAAATAACAGAAAAATAAGCCATGATGAATTTAAGGTTAACACTTCTGAAGTTCAGACTCACCAGTTTCTGAGACCTTTCCCGCAACCTGTGCCATAGAGTATGATGAAGCTGAAATATGAAAGCATGCAATTACTTATACAGCAACAGAATAGACAGCTTGTTGTGATTTCTAATATCCACTTAAACTGATGCTCTGCGACATGAATTGAACTTACAGGGACTTCCATCACTCCAATTTCACAGTACTGAAAATATTCCTAACTGCAAGCATGTGCTTTTAATGGAATTATCCAAATCTGCAGAGCTTTTCCTTCAGCTCTTCACAAAACTTTACCAGAAGAGCTCCATTGCAATCTACTGATACACACATGCAATCACACTGTTTAACACCTTTATCAATTCACTTCAACAAAGCCAGTGTAGTATAGTGGTTAAGAGCATGGGACTGGAACTCAGGAGGTCTGGATTCTAGTTCTCATTCAACCATGGAGCTAACTGAGCAACTTTGGGCCATCACAGACTCTCAGCCCAACCTATCTCACAGTGTTGGTATTCAACTAATTTCAGACTCTGATGGTTTTCAACCCTTATTGAAAATTAGAACTATAAGTCTATTGCTGAATCTACTAAGATTGCTTTCCCAAGCAGAGGCATATTGAAGAATAAAATGCACGATTTTAGATAATGAATTTCAAGACGTACAGAGTATGGCAAACAATGTTTTCTTCCTTTAATTCCATGAGTCCTATCAAGCATGGCCAGATGGCTCCATATCTATATTATTTACAATCCTGGGGAAATGTAGAGCTTTTTAACCTGGCCTAAATTAATATTATGCCTTCAGCAATCTTATACAGAAGATTCCAAAGGATACCATATAATGAGAGATGCTGCTCCTATGAATTGGATTGGCGTCAATCTCACATATGCTCCTATACGGACCACTCTGCATTGAATTATGCATTATTTGGACCAAATCCTAGTAAACTTGACAGGTAGATCAGGCTCTGAAAAAAATGTCATATTTTGAACAATGCCATGGTAAATATGGCTGAGAAGATAATGTCTTTTTATCCCATGCAGTAAAGGCATGTAGTAAATGAGTTAATTGTGTCTCCATGTTCTGGATATTATCCAACTTCTGTCTTCTGCATAATGCTTCCTTTTTTAATTATGCCAAGAAAGGTGGGGGTGGTTGTTATAAGTGTTGGTATTGTTGGAATAAGCTTGAGAGGGAGAGAATTGTGTAAGCTGCCTTGGAAGGGAAAAAGGCAAGATATAACTATAAATAAAAATAAGCAGATATAACTATAAATAAAAATAATAATAAAAATAAAAAATAATACTAGGATAGTTCTCTACAATTTAGTAGAGTCATCTGCAATAGTTACTGTTGCAAATCTATAGGACAAAGGAACACTCACATTCAGCTACTTCATGTGACAAAAACTTTTCTAAGCCGGATGGCCCAAGCTGAAAGCAGATGCTTGATCTTCTCCTAGATTTTCATTTTCTCTCACCAACCATGGACAGGACATTATTAAATATTTTAATATCCTGCTTCTGCAAAGCTTGAGGTTTGCAGCAAAACATTGTAAACATGAACAAAAATTCATAAAAGCTGTTAGACCACATTAAAATTTAGTTTTGAGGACTGAAAAGAAATAAAAAATCCCTTATTTTCTTGGCTGCTGCTAGTCTGGTTTCTAGAATAGAAAATTGAGGAATACACTTGATATTTTGCTGAATTCTCTCCACTGAGACTAGAAAACTCAGTGGAATTGTTTGTCCTGTTCTTTGCTCTTCAGTAGAAAAAGCAATACAAGGTCTTTAATGTAACATTAACTCAAGCTCCTGCTTTCAGGTTTTCCTTTGCCTTTCCCATTTATTTATTATTTGATTTTTATGTTGACCAATAGCCAAAGGCTCTCTGGACAGTTAACAAAAGTTCAAACGTAGGGAAATAACATATGAAACAATAAAACAGTACAATTAGAGTAGATTGCAGAGTACTGCAGAGTACAGACTGCAGAGTACAGAATAAAATGCATTATTAAAACTAAGATTTAAAAACTAACTTAAAATATTGGGAGAAAAAAAAGGGTTTTACCTGGTGCCAAAATGAATAGAAAGTATCAGGCGTACCTTTTCAGAGAACTCATTCCATTCCACAACCGAAAGGACCCCTCTCCTGGTAGCCCTCCTTTACTTCCTTTGGAAGAGGCTCCCAGAGAAGGACCCTAGAAGATGACCTTAGGGTCCACATAGTTACATAGGGAATGAGCTATTCTTTCAGATAACTTGACCCTAAAATATTTAGGGCTTTAAATGCTAATACTAACACTGAATTTTCCCCAGACATCAACTGGGTGCTACTGCAGCTGAAAGAGGACTGGCATAGTATGTTCTTATGAGTGAGTCCCCATTAACAACCTTGCAGCCCTGTTTAGGATCTGTCTTCACATCCATTTTGCTATTGTGTTTTACCATTTTGGACTATAGGGCTAAAGGCAGGAACTGTGTTAAATGTATTAATCTGTAAGCTTAATATAGATTCTGGGAACCTCTCTGGCTGAAGAATGGTGTATAAGTGCTTTAAATAAATAAAACAGGCAATTTTACTTTTATATGTGAAGTTTAAGCTGTTTTGCTGTTTATTCAATATATTTACATATTGCCTCTCCCTTAAAAAAGCACAAGGGATAACAGAGAGCTAAAATTAACTACCATACAAAGTCTCAGTTTAACAATTTGACAAACCATGCTGTATCCTTCCTCCTCTTAATAGTATATACAACATTAATCTCAAATGACTAATGGAAATTTGTACTGAGCCTGAGAAAAACAGCTGGAAACACACCAGAGCAAAAGTGGCATTCTGTCTATTAACTCACTTGGAATAATTGTAGCTACTAATATCCAATATATTGAAACTTGGAATATGGGAAAATAAAAAGGTACATGAATTTATCTGCATAGATATGCAATAAACATCCTTCCTATTCCTTATCCTATCACAAATATTGATAAATAAATGGATTACTAACCTTTAAATGAATAGGAACAGAGACACCCTGGAATCTTCGTAGAAGTTCAGACTGGCTGCTTTGAAGATTATGAGCTGCTGTCACATCATATTGGTAGCAGAAGCTAGTTCGGGGTATATGAGGACCTTCACCAATATCTACAAAGTCACCAAATCTGATTGAAAGTAATACAGAAAAAAAATAAAACACTTCAAACAAATGTAGCATTGATCTAGTTCACATAGCATGGCAACTTACTGTCATGTGAATATGGGTTACTCACCAGGAGGGGCTTGTTTTTTCAAACCAGATACCCTGCAGTGCCCATAGGCTGTGGCTGGGTTATTGTTGCGCATGATGGCTTATGTTGTACAACCCTGGACAACATGACCCTCCAGGGATGAGACTCAACAACTAGTTTCCACTCTGACCAAGCAGCTGTTGGATAACTAGCATTGCCGCATGCAGAATGCTCAGTGGGCTCCACCTCTTCAGACTACAATCACTAGCTGGTTTTGGTTGGTGATTATGGGTTATCCCTTTAAGGATTTTTTGCTTGGTTTTACAAGAATGGCCCATTGCCCAAACAGGGCTTTTATTTTTTTGGGACAAATCCAAACTGAGGCTGGTAATCCCTTCCCTACAACCTTGTTTTCAATAGCCAAGTTACAGAAGGTGAAATGCTCATTGAAAGCAAAGGCAGAGGGTTCATTTGCCAAGAAGGAGCTGTTTTTCAGAAACACACCCTTTCAAGAGCCTTTTCCTTTATGTTCTGGTCCTTTATTCTTAATAGAGAAGCAAATTTCCCCCGTTTTCCCACCCTCTATGTGCTTACAGAAGGGTTAATTGGCTACCACACCTCTTCATTCCTTCATAAAATTGTAACAATCAAAAGCTTAAATGAGTTGAAATTGCTATTACTAAATTTGCAGTTTAACCATTCATTTATCAAGAATTGCAGAATATTATATATAGGTTCAATAGCACTCTTTTACAGCAAACAGACGTCACTTTAACATGTTTAAAGCATGCTTATTGGAAGAACAAGGAATATCCTAGTAAGATTTTGCAATATTGTTTTGACCAGCATAAACAATAAAATACAATCACCAAGCTTAAAGATGAAATGAAGAGACATGCATTTGTCCTACAGAAGTAGATTTATATTTCAGAAGTTTTACTTGGATTTAGACAATGGGGGTAGTGAAATATCACAGCTACATAAGGATGTATTTTTCCCCAGATTATTTTTCAGAGTATCAACTCCAAGAAAACAGCCATAGTTTGTTTCACCTTCTATACAAAGAAAATTGTAACAATTTAAAATATGAGTCCCAAGAAATTACCTATTCCAAACATGTTTCCATTCGAATGGTATAAACCCTTTTCTAGCTTGTTAATTCCAGAACTAATGGTTTTATATTCCTATAATTTTGGATTAGGCTCAACCGTTATGGTAAAATCTAGATTTAAATACTGGTTTAAAATGTTGTCTTGAGCAGATATGTTGTTGGTTTACTTTGACTTAATTAGTGGGAGAAGATTATGAATTTCTGTCATTTTCTTATTTGATACATTTTGCCTGTGGGAGCTAAATGGCTATATTTACAACAACATCTGCTGGAATCCAGGTTTGGTCCTACAGCATTTTCAACCTCATAATATTCTCAGTTATAAATCCCCATTGAGGCTGATCAGTTACATTGACCCATGAGCCATGCCTATAAAGTATCTGTTATGAATGAAAATATGATATATTAGGTCTAATGGAGGAATGGAATAGAGAACTGGAATGTATCATCTAAGATGTGGAGTGCTACTTTAGACCTTTTTTGGTCTTCATATGTCTCCCATAATTGCCTCTTTTTGGGTTTAAGTCACAATAGGGATAAACTTTTATCAGAACACACTTTAATATTTTCAGATATACAAATGCTTTTAATTTATCAAAGCAAATGGTTTTTCTGTGTCCTTCTGACAGCTAAAAGACTACAACACTGGAAGAATAAAAGCTCACCTCTTACAAGGCAATGGATTGAAGACTTTACTAAGTTTTCAGTATGTGAGTGCATGACACACAGATGCTGTCCTCAAATGGACATACAGACATGTATTTAGTGTACTTCTGTTTAAGCTTATGTATAATTGCCATACTTGGATTTATGCTGTTACCTGGATACTTAGGAATGTGCGCTAATTTCAGCATCTTTTCTTGTTTTTTGTTGTGCATATACTTGCTTTGTTTAGTTTTGATCACTTTAAAAAAGAAGAAAATTTAAAATGGTCTCACCTGTGGGTTCAAAAGGCAGTCCCTCTAAAATGCCATAACATACTTTGAAAGGCCACTTGATGACTACTCCTTAAGGGAATTTAAAAAAAAATCTCTTTAGCCTGCTTTCACCATCTTGAAGTGGGTAGGGAAGGACCTGGCAACGCAGCTTTTTTCCAATGAAGAAGACCAAGAGACTTCTTCAAGCTCCTAGCTATGGCCACGGAAAATATGGTAGATGTGAACATGAATGTGGTGCTTTTGTGGAAGACAAAAAAACTCTGTCTTATAAAATGGCCGTGGCCTTAATCTCAGATTTGCCAATGGAATAAGGCACACCTTTCAGGTGAACACAGGAAATGTTCTGAAGGCCAGGATAATTTTGGAAGGAAGCACTAATGTAGAATTAACTTTGACGACTAATACAAAATACCAAAAGCCATGGTGCTTCCCATTAAATTGCCAGCCATCCTGTTTGTTTTGGAAAAGTTGGTATTGGATCTTCCTACTTGAAGGAAAAAAAATGTGCATGAGGCACAATTATGAGGAAACCAGCTCTTCTCACTGAGTCATACCCCCAGTGTGTGACATATGATAGAAACAAATTTATATGCTGCTGCTTGATGAAAGTGAAACTTGAAGTGTCCTGTGATTATTTTTGGATTCTGCTGTGTCCAGTCCTTTTCAGAAGTTTTTATAAAGTACTGCACCACACTATGGAGCTTATTGCTAACAAAAGAAATAGAATTGTACTAAGACTTGTTCTCATTAATCTTGGATTTCACTAGCATGGCTTATGACCCATCAACCATATTTTGCAGCCCACCAAATGTTCAGTAAATTTATTTTTCTTAATCTACCTCATGTTTAAAAATAGAGGGTTGTGCCTGCTTGATGCAAAATGCCACCACTGAACTATGTTTAGCTTGGTGGATGATAAGTCTGATATTATACCTGATGGAGTAGGTCTGAAGTATTTTGAGGGAACACTAACACCTTCATAAACTAGTTTGTCTCTGTATAACAAAGTCATGACAAAGAGGGGTGCTGCAAGGTGTCATCTAGTGCTCCCCACACTTTATGCAGGGATATGGGCACCCAGTGCATGAAATAACTCGCAATCTGCATTGCCAGTGCCTCATCCTGCATTTCATCTAGATACCCATTTTTGGCCATTTAAATGAAGCAGCATGTGGGGGGTGGGGGGTGGACAGGAGGACACCGGGGCACCATCTGGATATGATGAAAGAAACGGCATTCCTCTTTTCTCTGTGGTCCATTTGCAACCTTGAGGGGGCATCCCACATAGTTCTGCAAAAGGAGCAGAGTAGCTTGACTTTCAGTATCCAAACTTTGAGCTCACAGGGAGCTTGGAGCTGGGACTCTGAATAATTCTATGGCGCTCAGATGCTTTGGGAGGGCATAGGATTGTACTCTCAGCATTAATTGAACAAAATAGCTTGACGAGAGCAGAACTGAGTATCAGAGAAGTTGTAAAGTATGTGTATTTGCACCGTAATCTTCATATGGACAATAAAATGCATAAAAGCCTACATTGTTGGTCTTGTTTATTGGCATGGACACAGAATGTTGAAGGATAAATAAATTTGGGGAAGAGTTCTGTAGAACTAGTCAACCCTATGCAGTATCTTTGCAGTCTCTGCTGTGGTGTTGCAGTGTGCTCTTATTTGTAGTTGGCATGTACATGTGACTGACAACATTAACAAAACTACCCTTACCACAAAACAAACAGACTACCTTTTTATGCAAACGTCATTTTAATTGCTAATATTATTTCCTTCTTTTATTCTTTGGCCAGGGCGACTTATTTTATATTGTTAATTCATTTTATATTTTTAATGTATTATATTTTAATGTTTTGTGAGCCGTCCCGAGGCTTTGGCGAATGGGGTGGCATAGAAATTTTCTAAATAAATAAATAGGGAGATGTAAAAGGACAGATACAGCAAGCCAAAGTCAGCTTGTAACCATGGCTATCAGAGGGAGGGAATTCTCCTGGGATACAGCTTGGAAGAATAAGGGAAAAAGAGGGAGAGCGAGCAAAGTACCCACAATGAACCCAATATCTGTGTACTCATCTTGTGTACTTTGCAAGACCAGCCTACCATGACTTATTGCCAGAGTGGGTTGGCATGTTTTGCAAATTCAATCACATACATCCCTAAAAACAGACCTTTCCTCCTCCTCTTAGAATTGGAGTGGGGGGGGAACACTCATCAGCCCTTGGCCTGTGCATTTATGCATCCCAAGACTGGAAAAAAAATGCAAACAGCCCAAACAAGCTGGCCATTTGACTCTAGAGAAGCTCAAACTATTTTACATAATAAGGATGCTGAAAATTAAGATTTTTATCTAGAAAACAAACAAATGTTTCTCTCACCTTTGTACTCTTACTCTTCCTTCAGGATTTTGTGAAGCTCTTTGTTCAACTATGTCCAGTTTGAACCTATAGCACAAGGAAAGAGACCAATAATTAAATTTCACACAGTATACAATCGCCCTGGTTTGGACAATAGGACAGTATACAATTTTACTTTTTTGTTTAATCAGGGGTGATTGTCATGTTATGAGAATACAGTTCAGGCCACTCATGTTGGATTGTGTTTTCAGAGCAACCCACTCCGAGGATCACCTGGCTTTTCTAGGGTTGCTGTCATCCACCATGAGTGGTTAGTTGTGTCAAAATTTAAAAGGAAAATGAACTGAGGAGTCAAAATCCATTTTCCTTTCTATTACGCTTTGCTGAGCCCGAGGGTTGAGGTGCTGAATTCATTTCCTCCAGGAGAACGAAAGGGAAGAAATCAACAAGCGAAAGTTCTTAGTAGGAAGTAAATGCTGTTTGCAAAAGATCCCTCACAACTCTGCTTTCAATGGGAGGCTTGCTCTACCCACTGAAAGCAAGGGGTAGTAATGGAGTTCCAGTTTCAGCTAGGGTGATATTCAACGGGCTTCTCACTGCTCTCTTGCAGCATACATCACTCTGCACATTGCCTCAAGGTTGACCCCGCCTGTGCTTCAGGGAATAAGCCCTGTTTGTGCAACAGGAAAACTAAGGGGGAAGAGCACTGCAACCCTTGCAGACACAAAAATATTACAATAGTGGCCAGACCTGGACAGCTCCTTCAAAGTACCACAAGGTACTTTGTGGGGTCTAGCTAAAAGCTCACTTTGTAGCCAACAGCCAGCATCTAACACCTCAGGGAAAAAATTAGAGGCAGCTGCAATAAGTTGTAACTGGATCACAATTAAAGCTGTCAGGGAGCAAAAAAATTCTTCCCTGTAACATCCCCTGCAATACTACCTGAAGAAACAAAGGGTAAGGAAGATCCCAGATGAGTCAGTTTGTCAGGATCATCATGAGCACTCTCCAAATTAAATGAGCTGCCAATGGTGACACCCATGGCTGAATGCTGTGACATCAAACAAACTCACCATAAGATAGTAAATTTAGGTGACGAAATACAGATGTGGAATCCACCAGAGATTGAATGTTCATAACCACCTGTACTATTTTCCTTCCCAACTGCTAACTCTTACAAGGGTAGGGATTCATTTTCCCTCTGCCTTATGTTGTTCTTTTCGAGGACCGAGCAGCCAATATAGGATTCACTATGTTCTACTAGGACAGTGATGGCAAACCTATGGCACACATGCCCAAAGGGGCATGCAGAGCCCTCTTTGTCCACTGATGATCGCTCCAGCAGCCATGCGCATATTCAGAAAGATTAAGGGTGTCAGGCAATGACATCACTCATTAGCCAGGACTCACCAAGGTTTTGCATGGCCAGTCAGTGTGCTGCCAGGGATTTGCTTGGACCGTGATTTTAGCAGAAGGTAGGAAATACACTCAGATGCCTTTTCAGGGCTGGCCAAAAGCTGGTGGTCAGTGGAACATTGCCCCCTTGTGCTGGTGGTCAGCAAATTCAGGTTTTATTGCCAAAGAGTTGGCACTTTGCAATAAATAAGTGGGTTCTGAGTTGTAGTTTCGGCACTTGGTCTCTAAAAGGTTCACTATCACTGTACTAGAATATCTACCAAGGATGAAGAACCTCTGGCACATGGGCCTGACAAAGCCTGTAGAACTTTCCCATGGAGGCAAAAAGCTCAGCAGCATAAGAACTTTTCCCTGCTGGGCAAATAGGGCATGGGTGAACCAACTGAGTGATTCAGTCCAGCTTAATTCTGAGTAGACATACCCTGTGTATGTCTAATCCTGTCCTGCTTATCTGTGCATCAACATGCTGCTCATGCTTACTTTTGAATAGATGTGCTTCCTGCTATAAAGTAGTTACAAATTGGTGAGATTTAATTTTAGTTCTATCTACTTATGTTTACTGACTTGTCCACAGCTGGAATGTACTGTCCAAGGGCATTCCTGAAATGGATGCTTTCAAACCAAAAAAGATTTCCCACCCTAGATAGGTATTTATCTATACATTCTAGCTCAAATACATTAATACTCCCCTTTAATACATTCCCCCTTTAATCATTCTCAGTCTCACTGCAGTAGATTGATGTGTATTATTTACCACATAGCAGGGACATAAATGCATTACATTTATGGCTACCTGATTTAATGGGACTTGTCTCACAGTTATCTGACTTTTCTCTAGTCATCAGTAACATACTCTATTGCCACCTGCTGGCTAATACTATGAGAACTTCAGGTCCATACTTTAATAAGTGCAAAGTAATAGAATTGGATCAGCTTTTAAAGATCAACTTAAATTGTAAATATTTTTCTGCTATGTAACACTATTCCAATTTCAATAAAATATACACCCAATACATTTTACTATGACATTTTATATGTGTCCAATATATTGATACTGACTTGTTATGTTGAAAGATTTCAAGTGCCACTTTTGCATCAACATCAAGCATTTCAAATGCCAGGTCCTTCTGAATTAGTTTATGAACATCTCTTGTAAGAGAACGGAAACTTTCCTTGAAAGCAAAAAAGAAAGAGAACTATGAGCATGCAAGAAAAATAAAGAATGAAGACTTCAAAGCACAGCATTTAAATCAGTGGATTGATGGGTTTTGGTTGACCTAATAAACATATTACAGCAACATGAATGTTGAATTTTTCTTACAGTCACTACAACTAGCTGTTATTTTTGTGAGGCATCAACAATACTGTAATTAGCTGTTCTATAGCAGACCCCAACAATGAAGCATCAAGATTTACACTGTCTGAAGCTAGACTTCATTCTTAGGGAGTTTGTTCCCCTCTAACCACTAGGAATACTTCCCAAAATGGCGTCAATAAACTTATTACTAGAACAGCATCTACATCCCCATCCGTCCTCACATTTTGCTAATAAAAGAACTGCCTAATTTCTCATTGTGAGCCATTGGGAACACAAGCCTGTGAGAACACTGCTGAAACAAGTGGCCTTCATAGTCCCCAAAATTCCCTTCCCAGGATAACCACAGGCATCAGCACGCTCCTGTAACCATCACATGACCTGAAGACTCTTTTTTCCTTCATTACACCAAAGTCTAACTAAGAAGGGTTAACAACCAACACAATTTCACTGTCTAGTAACCATGCTTACTCCTCCCTATCCCTTTCCCATCTGCCTGTTTAACATCTTACCAAACAAAGCAATCTGGGAATTTCAAAAGTCTGCACAAATTTTTGAGTATTTTGGTTGGTCCATAAATGTATTACAGAAACATGAATTTTGGACTTTTTCTTATGGCCAATATGATTACTGTTGCTTCCAATAACTCAAGCGGCTGAAAGTTTTGGCCTGAAAGAATTAATTGCCATCCTCCAGTGGGCTTCTCAAAGCCTGTCTACTTAGGATAGCCCTGACCTTGCTCTTGGGATGAGCCAAGACTTGTTAGAGACAGAAATGTTGTGACATTTATCCTGGCTGGAATGCTGTCCCTTTTTAGAAGCAGGAATTTTTTTACACCTTAGTGTACAGTCCGTGCTCCCACAAAAAAGGGCAATTACTATATTCCCAAGCAATGCAAACAGCAATCACTCTGGAACCAGTCTGAAATTACCACCAACTGGTTAAATCGTCTGCACAGAGCTGACAGTTTCTTTTGTCTAGCAGGATAGGATTATATAAATGTTTCCCAAAAGACAGTGCCCAAGATATGTCTTTTGCAGTATACTCAAAATATACCCAAGTTATGCAGGTGATGGTCTCACTTGTCAATTTAAGTTCATTAAGATAATGTATCATACATAGCTATTTCATTCTCACTTTAGCTGTCAACTTGTTTTCACATTAGTCATGCTAATCTATAAAGTAAATTTTAGTCGTATAACACATGCAAAAACAATTTTGATCTTTATTCTGAAGCCAATTATTTCAACATTACAAATGATTTAGTTGCAAACTGAAATAGAATAGAACTGAGTTATTTCTTTCAGCACTAGAATCTATTAAAACAAATACCAAAGGGAGGGGGGGCAAACTATACATTGAACTCTAATTTACACCCATTCGTAAATGATCTCATAGAGTTTGTTGTGAGAATTATGGAAGCCAATTTGAGTTTGTTGTGAGAAAAAAGGCAGGATATAACTCTGATAAACAAAACATATTACTTCAAGAAGTCTCACTTTAGGAAAAATCTGAACTATATATAAGTCTTCATATTTGTATTATAGCATCCTACCAACACATCTGCATTTCCCAACAATATATAGCAACTTTTAGGCCCCATGTCATGCATTTGCAAATGATAAAGTAACTCCATAGGCATTGCTTGGCTCTACCAAGTAATTTGGAAATACGACCAGATGTTGCTGGAGATCACAATCAAGAGGGCACTACTGCAGTCAATGCTACCTGCACATTTCCCGTCAAGCATTCACTTGGCCACTGTATGAATGTAATGTAGAACCAGATGGACCTCACTTTAACCCAGCATGGCTGCTCTTTTGTTAAGCATAGGTGCCTATACAGACTTACAACACAACGCAGAGTTTACCAAATATCTGAATCCAGCTCATGCTCCAATAGTAAAACTATAGAACAGTTCTTAAATGTTAGCACTAATTCTATTCCAGGTCTGTGTCGATTTTGTATGTTTATTTATACATCTATTCCATCCTGTTCCACACTGATCACTAGGTTTTTTTGAACTGCACAAAGATACCAATTTAAATATTTTCTCAACCATATGCATTGTAAACATAATTTAAACCTTGATTAGCCTTTTAATGACAGGTTTTATATGCTTTTTCCAGCAGAGAACATCATAAAACTCAGATTGGCAGGGAAGGAGGGTTACAGGTCAAGTCAGTTTGAAGCAGAACAAAGTAAATTCCAACCATCGTGCATAAATACAATACATTCTTTTCTACAGAAAAAGCAACATAGCAGATCAGCATGGATGAGAATGTCTACTGACTCTTGTAACATTCACAATTCTCCAGAGAAAGACCACACTGAAAACTGTCCAATCAAGTAACATTATGCTTACCGCAGATGGCTTCCAGTCATCAAGTCTGCTGTCCAAGATTACATCATAGCAGAAAGCTCCGGATATCACTATATCGCAAGGTATCATTCAGAAGAACATTAACATCACTGAAGTAGGTATAAATAGCATTGCAAAGTCTGAACTAAAGACACTTAGACATTCTACTTAGAACCAAGCAATGTGGTTTCATATAGAACTGAGATACCTTTGGATAAAGCTATTGCACAAACATGTACAGGAAGCTGTATACAGTTCCAATTGCCTTAAATCAAAAGGGATACTGTAGACGTAGCAAAGGTGCAGAAAAGAGCAAGCAAAATGGTCACAAGGCTTGCAGAATCTTCCTTGAGCATATTTATTCCATTTTTATTCCACCCTATAGCCAACATTATTTGACAAATGGATCCAACAAGCATTAAGATTGGCCTCTGATGTCCTGCTCCACATTCTGGAACCTTCTGGAGATAGTAACTGGAGAAGGTTTTTTGCTCAAGGTCATCTTGGATCATACCTTTTTAGGGTATATCACTATTCCTGTTCAGACAGAAATGTCTCACATCTCCCAGCATGCACCCACCAGCTGTCTCAGCACATTGAGAATTATAGGGCTACTTTCTATCTAATATGCATAGGACTGTGTGCTCAAGCCTTGTAGGTCTTTTATGATACAAACCATACACATCTATACTTCATCAAGTTCAGAGAGGCTTGCTCTCACATGAATTGTTACATACACTATGCAGGTTGTTTTTCCTATTCTGCTGCAGTACATAACTGGTTTTTAATGTATATAAATCGATATACACAGTATTGTTTTCATCTGTAGACCACTCTGATAGTGTCTACTAAAAGCAAATATATATGCAGTTTTTTAATATATGATCTAAAGACATGCTTTGACATAAAGATGACCTGAGTCTGAGCAAGTTTTCTGAGATTCCTCTTGGAAAAAATTCAAGATATAAATGTGACAATTATTTCTGCATTACAAGATTTAGTTAATTAAGCAAGGATAAGACATAGGCTATGGTCATTGCTAAATACCTGTTAGCAAATTTGAAGTAGATGATTGTGCAGAAAATAGAGATAAATTATTCCCACATATACACAGAGAGCACTTAAGATTGGTGTCATCCCATGCTGTTAATCAACAGCAGATACAGAATAGCTAGGTGTGCTTTTATCTCTTCATTTAGCGTAAGTCTTTCTAGAATTATATATGACAAGAGGTAGTAATAGCCAGCAGATGTATAAATATTACTAAAACTTTTCAACTGCATGAGTTAAACAGAGCTCTAGCCTTAGAAGTATCTACATGTGCTGCAATATACAACTCAAACATCATAGGAACTTGCACAAAAAATCTCTCTACCTGGCACTTCTGGAGCTCTCACAAGAGTGACTGAGTATTCCTCTTTAAATGCTTGTTCTAACACACAACCCAGGATCATAGCACAAGAGCGCCAATAAGCCTAAAACAGAAAATGCCAAATAGAAATGCATTATTCTGATGTCTAGTTATCCCAAAATACTTCATATCAATTGAAGATAGAACTTTAAAAGTGTTAAACTCTTAAAAGAAAATGTAGGGAGTAGAGCAGTTTTTCACATAAAAATACTTTCATGCATCCTGTTTGATTAGGTAGTAAGATAGGAAGCTCTCTAGAAAACAACCATATATTAAAGAGTTCTTTATGCCCATATATTAAGAGTTCTTTAACTTGGCATAGTATTCTGTTTTTCAGTTGCCCATGGAATAAAAAGAGCATTGTTTATATAGTACAGTAAAACTCCTGTATCCGTGATTTTCAGTTAGCACAGTTAACTACAGCTGACTGCAGTCTGAGAAATAGGAATTATTTTTTTGCGGCGGGGAGGAATTTTGTGGCCTTCTGCCTACTATTCCACAGACATCCACATGGGGAACACTCCTCTTTCTAACCACTGCCTACAATTGTGCGCCACCCTACAGCAAGAGCAGCACACCAAACCAGGCATGCTGCTGTGTGCAAGGTTCATGGCACAATGCAGGATGAGCTCCCCCAGAGCAGGATGCATGCTGGCACACCATGTTTTGTTTCAAGTCGAAAATTATGAGAGAGGTAATTGTAATGCAGTATCAGAGCTGAGGTCTGAGGAAGGGAAGAGATAGTCACAGTTCTTCCCACTATCGTGGGGGTCCTGCATCCTTAACTCCTGCAAATGTGGAGGGCTGACTGTATAATGCTAATTACTATCCAAGGTTTCAAGCATCCACTGGGAAGCTTGGAATCTATTCCCCATGGATATTGGGGTCGTATTGTATGGCAAAAGGGATACAACTATTATTCAGTAACACATAACTAAGCAGGAGAAGAAATCTAGGAAGACAAACTTCCAAAAGAATACATAAAGGAAAAACAGTATGCTTATGCTCAAATCATGTTAACCCAGTCTCTGTGCTTCCCCTTCAACAACATTCAAAACCTGAATCCTTCTGCCCTTCAGGCATTATAGAAGTAAAGCCCAAGACATAACAAAGAACACTGTGGAGGAAATTGACACAAACATACTTTGTTCACTTCATCTGGATCTTCATCTTTGAAAGTAAGAAACTGGATTTCACACGAGTGAGTCAAAGGCTTGTACATATCCCAGTACTGACCATCTACAAGGGCCAGGACAGATCGCTTACAGTGCCATTCACTTAAATCTAAGGGGGAAAAATTCAAGAAAACCTCCAAACATCATGATCCTATAGCATAGGTGAATGTTATTAATATCAACAGTTCAAATAACAAGGCAGATTAAAACATACTATTTGATTTTCTGTAAGGTTTTTTGTTTATTAAGCAAACAGCAGCTGTTGACCACTCCTTTTTTCACCCTAGAACCAGCTGTGCTGATCTTTAGTCTTCAACACTATCATAATCTAAAAACACTTAAAATAATACCAAAGAGAAATATCACCTTGGCTTCTTGTTCCTAGCATTTTATAGACTGTTGCAGAGAAGTCTGATAAGTGGAATATGGCTTTCTTTCTTAGTGTGTTAGGAATGTTCAAGAGAGCAGCATTGAAAGGCAAGTATGAGGATGGCTGAAAAAGGAGGAGCTACTCAGGTATAGCATAGTTAAGCCATTACAATACATAAAGTATTGGATGGAGGAGGATGAAATATTTAACTGGGATGCAGAAGTGACTGGGTAATCAAACTGGCTATAATGTAAGTCTTTTAGCCATTTATTGAATGCTTCGTTGCACTCAAGTATTCCTTCTTTATATAATAGGAACTGATGCATTACATAAAGCATGATTTGATTTGCTACTCAGATTCAGAATTAACAGATCTAGTTTCCATTTACTTACGCATAGCACATGAATATGGAGTAGAAAGTCCTTTATTCATTATAAAAACAGCACCTGGGTGAGACTTGCCAACATACTTTACTTCAATCTTTTCAATTCGTGGAAAGAGAGACAATTGTCTCTCTTTCTCTTTTGCAAAGAGATCATTGCGCAACTGTGCAATCTGAGCTGTTGACAGCTGAGGAGAAGCTGTTGAAACAAACCCTACAAAGAAAAAAGCTCTCATTAAATACCATTTCATAGAAGACAAACACCAATTTAATTGGAAGCAGTTTCCACTAATATGTTGAAGGCAGGAGCTATTGTTAACATAGGAAGAAGACATATGAACTGTGAAACTAAGTAATGACTGTGTTTTTCTATACTACCAAAATAAGAAAAGTGGAGGAGGGAGAAAAAGACTACTTCTGCAAAGCAGATATCTGCCAGAAAATTTTGGGAGATGACAATATTATCTGTCCTCCATAAATTCTAGTACTATCATAGAGGTCATACCAAAATACACAGTGATAACATTACAGGTTCTGTTCATTGAGCAGGTATTCTATCACCAGTTGCAGCATACACTATTCCAAATATAAGCCAAACCTACCAACTTTGCTGTTCTTGCCATTCATATTTCACAAAACAGTAATTATAATACAACGTTGACACCAACCAAACAGAGCTTATTGGATGGAGCCATGGCTCACAGTCCAGGAATCCGCTTTTGTTATTATTTTTATTTTTATTAGAACATTTCTAATAATTTTTTAAGCTCCAGTGGCATCAACAAAGAAAATGTTTTCGAATACATGCAAATCGTGTGACCTTCACCAATGACTACAAATAGCACTCAGTCCCAGCACACAAGGATTACTCTTTCAGAGAGACGGGGAATTAAAGTATCTTAATTTGAAAAACTAGACATCGCAACCAACATACGCTGTGACCATCCCCTAATTAAGAACAGCGAGGCACACCATCTCCCCACTTCTAGGCAGAGCCATGTTTTCAGTTCCCTCTTTCACTCACTCCTGCTGCACCTCCTCGACAATACGCGCGTCACCCAATAAGCGGCCATGGCTGCCTCGTCTCCACCGCCTCCTTCCAGCGGTCCGGAACTCACGGAGAGTCAACCTTTGTCGTCCTCCGGAAACCGCGGTCGAAGCCTGGCGTTCCGCCTTACAACGGATCCATTCGTATAGCTTTGCGAACTGCCGCTAGAGGGCAGTCTTCCCCAACCGAGCGACCTCCCGAGGTCTTGGACTACAGCTCCCACCATTCCTGACCATGAGTCATGCTGGCTGGGAATGATGACAATTCTAAATGCAACTGATCCGGAGACCTTCAAGTTTGGAAAGGATGCAGTGCAAATAACCTGTGTCAGCCGCTAGCTGGCCTTTCCGAGTGAAGCTCCCCGACTCAGCAATGGATGGAAGAACGGAATAAAAGCGCCACTTAGCTCCTGATACTAGCGCAACTCTGCGCTTGTCTCCTTAGCCCCTTTGGGGGATCCTGTTTGCGCGCGGCCTGCTCGAGCGATCCTTGATTTGCGGAGACCTCAAACAGAGATAGCATTGCAGACATACATTCAACAGGTGGAGAGTTAGTGGAGTACGCTGCATCTATCAACTTCTCTCTGCTGTGTAGTTAAAAGGAGAGGCAATGATGACTACCATCCTCTGCTGGCTTGCTGCTGGTTGAGCTGCAGCTTTAAGCCACAGCAAAGTGAAGAATTCTGGGCTCAGCACTGCCCAAAAAAGCGACTGCACCCTTTGCCTTGAGATCCCGGACAACAAGCTGAAGGGCTCGGGGAAGTGACAGTGGCATTCTGCACATGCTTGAAAGCTGGGTTACTTGCAGGGTTCAGTCTGAATTCTCAAAATGGTTTTGTCTACATCCACCTGGCTCACATGATGTAATAACACAACCCAAAACACCTTACTTAGAAGTAAATTCAATTGAAATGGGTGAGACTTATTGCTGTGTGGATATAGGTGGGTTGGAATCAGGATATATCTTATTCATAAGCCTTTACACATTCCACCTGAGCAAGTTCTACCACTGCACATACTAATATAAGCCAGATCAATTTCTATATTGAAGCCTTTCTATTTCTATATTGAAGCTTTTCATGCTTTAAAAAATACAGCACTGTTGAAACATTAAGCACTGAGAACTTATCTTCACAAAAAGGTTTGTTGCTGAGTTTTAACCTCTTAATTTGCTAAGGTATAGCAGACATGGCAGTGCCCCACTTATCAAGCTCTGAAATTGCCAAATAAAATTATCTACAAATAGATGGTTACTTCACAGCATTGTGGATTTACATTTTTAATAGGTCAGAATGGGGGGGGGGGGTTCCACTTTACTGTTGCAAGTCCAAAGGAAAAGGAGCTGGGCAGCACTGAAGTTGCCAAATGAGTATGTAAACTGAAATGAGGTAGAGGGGAAAAAAGAGCCCAGCAAGGATTGATCATAGCCAGTTGACTGTAAGGTGCTTAAAAGTATCAAGAAATTAAGGTCAGGTGGGAGGGAGTTGTGAGTTTTAAACATTCCTGGCCAGGCACTATTTGAGTTGATTTCAAGAGGGATATGTGGAGAAAAGGCAAGGTTTTTTCTTATTTTGTAGTACACTTTCATTGCCACATAATCGTAATGTATGCTGGTCCAACTATACCCAAACAGGGCTTGGAAAGGTAGGCAAAAGAAGAGTTTAATTTTCTTTTCCTAAAAACTTTTCCAGCGGAGCTTTTTCAAGTGGTGCAAGGCCTGGTTCATCCAGGTCCTAAGGAAGATTGGGTTCCACCCTCAAAGGCCCACTGTGACGACTTTGCCATGCATTTCAGGGAGAAAATCGCTCAAATTCGTCACAAGCTGGACACCACTAGTGAATCAGAGGTTTCTGGGGAGACACCAATGCTGCCGTCTGGTCCAGTATTATTGGATGAATTTCAGTTATTGCGGCCCGATGATGTGGACAAGGTGCTTGGACGAGTACGTCCCACCACTTGCCTATTGGACCCTTGCCCGTCTTGGTTAATAAATAATTCCAAGCACGGGATTGGGATCTGGATCTTGGAAGTAGTTAACGCTTCTCTGAGGGAGGGTCGGGTGCCTGCCCCTTCAAAGGAGGCGGTAGTCCGACCGGTCCTGAAGAAAGTGTCACTGGATCCAGAGATGGCCACTAACTATAGACCAGTGGCCAACATCCCGTTTCTGGGCAAGGTGTTAGAGTGGGTGGTGGCGGGACAACTCCAAGCGCTCTTGGATGAAACTGATTATCTAGACCCATTTCAGTCCGGCTTCAGACCCGGGTACGGTACTGAATCTGCCTTGGTCGCCCTGTACGATGACCTGTGCAGGGAGAAGGACAGGGGGAGTGCGTCCCTGTCGATTCTCCTGGACCTCTCAGCAGCTTTCGATACCATCGACCATGGTATCCTTCTGGATAGGCTAGCGGGATTGGGGGTCAGAGGCACTGCTCTGCAGTGGTTCCGCTCCTATCTCAATGGCCGATTCCAGAAGGTGGTGCTGGGGGACTATGGCTCTGCACCATGGCAGCTATGCCATGGAGTACCGCAGGGGTCCATTTTGTCCCCTTTGCTGTTTAACATCTACATGAAACCGCTGGGAGAGGTCATCAGGAGGTGTGGGCTGCGGAATCATCAGTACACTGATGATACCCAGCTCTACCTCTCGTTTTCCACGAATACAGGTGAGGCAGTGGCTGTGCTGAGCCAGTGCCTGGCCGAGGTAATGGGCTGGATGAGGGCCAATAAACTGAAGCTCAATCCAGACAAGATGGAGGTCCTGTTGGTTGGTGGATCGGGCTTCGGAGAGGGTGGATTTAACCTAGTCCTGAATGGGGTTGCACTCCCTCTTAGGGACAAGGTCCGCAGCTTGGGAGTGCTCCTCGACCCGGAGCTTTCATTGGAAGCTCAGGTGACAGCAGTGGCGAGGAGCACTTTCCTTCAGCTTCGGCTGATTCATCAGCTGCGCCCCTACCTGGAGTACGACTGCCTGGCAACAGTGACACATGCGCTGGTGACTTCCCGTCTGGACTTCTGTAACGCGCTTTACGTGGGGCTACCCTTGAAGACAGTCCGGATACTTCAATTGGTTCAAAATAGAGCTGCCAGGCTGCTGACGGGGACTGGGCATTATGTTCACATGACTCCAGTCCTCCGTCAGCTTCACTGGCTTCCCATTGAAGTCCAGGCCCAATTCAAGGTGTTGGTGATGACCTATAAAGCCCTAAATGGCTTGGGTACTGGTTACCCGAAGGAGCGCTTACATCCATATATGCCCGGCCGCCCCCTGAGATCAGCGGGAGAGGCCCTTCTCCAGGAACCCTCCGTGAAAGAAATTAGGAGGGTGGGTACTCGGAGGAGGGCTTTCTCTGCGGTGGCGCCTAAGTTATGGAATGCGCTCCCCAGTGAGGTCCGCCTGGCGCCGTCGTTATTTGTTTTTCGGCGCCAGGCGAAGACCTTTTTATCTAAGTGGCATTTTAACTGTTAGTATTACTAGATTTTATCCGGCCAGGGCGGCTTATTTTATATTGTATTTTTGTATTTTTAATTTAATGTTTATATTTATTGTAATTTATATTAGAATTACTTTTAATTTATTGTTGTAAGCTGCCCCGAGGCTTCGGCGAATGGGGCGGCATAGAAATGTTTTAATAAATAAATAAAAATAAATACAGACAACTAAAATCTATGTTGTATTTCATATAGCCACCTGACCAATTCTTCTACAATTTTTGAATGTTTCCTTCTTCACATACCCCATCTACCCACATGTCAATTAACTTCCCCTACAATTTTGTTGTTCCATTTGAGAAGAGAGAACCCACAACTGTATTCAGACAATATACTAACATACTGCTGTTGAAGCATAGGTTATTGTGTTGCCTGAACCTAGCTTTGCTAACTAGACATGGCTTTCATGGCAACCCATGAAAATAGCCCATTGTTTGTTTGTTGTTGGGCTATGGATTATTCATGGTTTGTCATTTCAGCTGAGTTCAGTCAACCCACATTTCAACCCCAATTCATGGGTTCATATTCAACCTGTACACAACCTGTATCAACACTTGACTGAGGACTAGCAAGTTGCCTAAATTCAATCATTGGGTTGGTTTGAACAATCACTACGGCTTAAACAAGTCATGGTGGCTTGTTTAAGTTGCAGTTCATTGTAGGCACAATTTGAATATGCAACAGCCAGATACAAGTTCTCATGTCTTCAGAATCCAGATATCATGGCTTGTTGAAGGGTTAAACAACCTTCAATCCATGAGCTGTTGTTGGATTATCTAACAGTGTAAATTTTAGAACAGCAAGCAGGGGTAAAAGAGGGGGGTGAATGAGGCAATTGGTTGGTGACTGAGAGTGTGTGGGCAGAACTTGGAGGTGTGAGAAGAGAGAGAAATACATAAATACTTTCAGTCTGTTAGCAGTCAACAGTCAGCAGTCTACAGAATCCAAAGAGGCAGCCTTCTCATTAGAATCCTATGTAGTGCTGTGAAAAGTGTTTAAGATTCTAAGAAGAAAGTAGACTATTTGAAGGACATGTTAGTGACCAGGGAGAGTCAAAACCTAATATTGTCAAAGAATTATAAGGGTGTGAAAGATAGAAGCTGACAGAAATCTTAGTGAAGAAGGGAAAGATTGAACTGAGATAAACAGAATAAAGACTGCAATATCTCAATTATTATACACTGTTTATTTACTAAGAAAATAAGTTACTGAACATCTTGAATCCAATATGATTATTGTATAAATAAAGTTTTGTTTATTGTTAACTCACGGTCATAGGCTGTTTGATCACCAGTATCGCATCCTCAGGACCACGCAGCCCAACGAAGGAGCCTTATTGCTTGGACACAGTATTGAGGGAGAGGCTGACTAATAAGA